TTTGAGACAATGTCTCACTATGTTGCCTTCGGTAGAGTGCCATGGCATTGCAGCTCATAGCAACCTCCAACTCTTGGGCTTAAGCGATTCTCTTACCTCAGCCTCCCAAGTAGCTGGGACTACAGGCGCATATCACAATGCCCAGCTATTTTTTTCTTGCAGTTGTTGTTGTTTTAGCTGGCCCGGGCTGGGTTCAAACCCACCAACTTTGGTGTATGTAGCTGGCGCTGTAACCACTGTGCTACAGGCACTGAGCCTCACTTTACTTTCTTAAGAAATACTTGAGCAGTGGGTCTGTGCTAGGTAGTGTTTCAAGCACTTTGTACTCTTAACTCACTAAGTCCTCTTAACACAGCAAGGCAAAAAGGCAGCAAGGAGGTAAGGGCTGCAATTACCCTCAACTTACAGATGAGGAAACTGACACAAGGGATGTTAAGTAACTCGCTCCAGGTTCTACCGCCAGTGAGATAGAGATTCCTGAAGAACTATTATTTGGTGAAATTTGGCATATTAAATCCCATGTCCTACTTAAAGATAGACTGTAGAGAATATTTCAATGAGGTAAGAAATCATCTCCAAATACATGTTTTGTTTGTTCCTTTGTTGTTTTTGAGATAGGATGTTACTCTGTTACCCAGGCTATAGTGCAGTGGCTCATCATAGCTCACAGCAACCTCAAACTCCTGGGCTCAAGCAATCCTCTGGCCTCAGCCTCCCAAGTAGCTGGGACTACAGGTGTATTACTACACCTGGCTAGCTTATTTTTATTTTTGTAGAGACAGGGTCTTTCCATGTTGCCCAGACCTGTCTCCACTCTTGGCCTCAAGCAATCCTCCTGCTTCAGCCTCCCCAAATTTTAAGAGTACGGGGACAGGCTATTGTGGAGCTTCCAAGTCAATTTTTGTGTGTATGTGAAAACTTGCTTAACTAGCTGTTAGTTTTTGAAAGTTCCAAATTTTCAATGTCACACAATCACCTTGGACACCCTACATTTCTAGAGTGTAAGGAAAGAAGGTTCTTTCCGAATTCCAGAGCTGATTGCCTCAACACTGGAGGTTCTTAGGATCCTTGCTAGGCCATCCAAGGTCAGTTTGCAGGGATAGGCAGTGTAATCCAGATGGTGAGAAAACCTGAAGGCAAATATCCTAAAAAATTGAACATAGCTGGTATGGTGGCTCACGCCTGTAATCCTAGCACTCTGGGAGGCAGAGGTGGGTGGATGGCCTGAGCTTACAAGCTGGATTCCAACCTAAGCAAGAGGGAGACCCCATCTCTAAAAAAGCCCAGCATGGGTGGCACCTGTGTCTGAGTGGGTAGGGCGCCGGCGCGTATACCAATGGTGGCGGGTTCAAACCAGCCCCAGCCAAGCTGCAACAAAAAAATAGCCCTGCGTTGTCGAGGGCGCCTGTAGTCCCAGCTACTTGGGAGGCTGAGGCAAGAGAATTGCCTAAGCCCAGGAGCTGGAGGTTGCTGTGAGTTGTGATACTATGGGCGACAGAGTGAGACCTTGTCTCAAAAAAAAAAAAAAAAAAAAATTTGAACATACACGGAAGTATGGGGCCTGAGTTTCCTATACACACTGTTCATAAAATGGTTTCATAAGACCTCCTTGAGGGAAAGTATACAATTGAGTTCCTTGTCACTCAAACGATTTTAGGAACCAGGTAGAAGCTGGGTGCAGGAGCTCAAACCTGTAATCCGAGCACCCTGGGAGGCTTGGGCAGGTGACTGCTTGAGCTCAGGAGTTCAAGACCAGGCTGATTAAAATTGAGACCCTGACTCTTCTAAAAATTGAAAAATTAGCCAAGGGTCGCTGGGCCCCTGTAGTCCCAGCTACTCGGGAGGCTGAGGTGAGAGGCTCTCTTGAGCCGAAGAATTTAAAGTTGCTGTGAGGTGTGACGCTATAGCACTCTACAGAGGAGGATAGAGTGAGACTTTGTCTCAAAAAAAAAAAAAAATCAGGTAGAAAGGGAAGCCTTAGGTCACACTGGCGGGACACTGGGCATGCCCCAGGAGAGCACTTGAAGAAGTATATAATTCTGTAATTCTGAGCAGTCTCCAGCTTTTCACAGACGTCAGGGGACCCCCGCACGTGCAGGGTCCCTGCCCACTGCCATTTCTTTAGGGAGCCTGAGCGAGTAAACACAGAGCAGGGTCAGGCAGAGAGGCAACATAGCAGCATGGCCTCTGGTTTACAGGGCGCGGGCAAGACCGGGCAGCAGGTGGTGCTCCTTTGCCCTCACGGACCCTCGGAGTCCGCCCGCGGCTGGACTTGAAGAACAGCTTCTCTGAAGCGCTCCTCCTTCCAGACTCGCGCCCGGGGCGTGGTCGGCTCCAATCGCTCCCAGGCCCAGCGCAGAGGCTGCAGCGGTAACGAGCGGTGGCCGTGCGGGCTCGCACCCTCCCCCGCTCCTCAGGGCGACAGAGGTCTCGCCCCAGCGGCGCGGGCCGCACCCCAAGGCACGCACTTCTTTACTCGGCGGAGGGAGCGCGGCTGGCCGCGCACTGCGTCCTACAAGACGTGCTGACGTTGCGGAAGGCCGGCAGTCGGCGCGGGAGCGGCCGGCTCGTATGTGTGCGTTGGCGCCGCCGCGAGGCGGGGACGAGCGGCGCCCGCGGCTGTGCAGATTCTAGGGCGGCGGCCGTCGCTGCAGCAGCGCCACGGGCGGGGAGGGCCGAGGAGGCCGAAGGAGAGGATGGGGAGGACCCGGTCCTGCTCTTCTTCAGGGCGTGCGAGCTGCTCCGGGGACGCACAGTGACAGCAGCGGCGCCCTGGCCTGGCAGCACTGAGGCCGCTTTGCCAGAGAGCCCGCGGCCGGCAGCGAGCCGGGCCATGAGGAGCGGCCGGGTCCGGGCCAGGCCTCGCTGACCCCGGCTCCGCGCGGCGGCCTTCCCCGTTTCCGCTCCAGCCTCTCGGCATGAGAGTCCACCGGGGCCCGGGGCCGCGGCTGCCCCAGACCCGCCGCCCGCGGGCGCCCTGCGGCCCCGCGGGCCCGTGGTGCTGATCCCAGCCGCCCACTGTGCTGCCCGCTCGCCCTCTGTATGTCCTGGGGGCGCGGCCATGGAGGTGGTGGGCGACTTCGAGTACAGCAAGAGGGACCTCGTGGGACACGGGGCCTTCGCCGTTGTCTTCCGGGGGCGGCACCGCCAGGTGAGCGCCGCCCGACCCGCCGGCTGCGGCGAGGCGAGCCCCCTGGCTGCAGCCGGACTGGGTGGTCCTGAAACTTGGTGAAGGAGTGGAGCCGAATCCCCCCGACTTGGCTCGCTGCCCTGGGCCTGCCATTGTGTTCGCTGTCAGTGTCGCGGGTTTTGTTTTGGTTGCGAAGATTGTTTTGAGGCCGAAGCCCTAGGCAGCGCTCCACCTACCGACCGGCCACCGCCGTCCGCTCCTCGTCGGTGTGCTTGGTAACCGGGGTGCGCTCAGGGATTCGTCCCGCGTGCCGCCCAGGGAAGCCCATCCACCTGAAACTACCCTGGACCCCAAAGTAGACCCTTGCACAAGTCGAGGCTCGAGCATGGGTGGACCTCTCGTTTGCCCCCCACCATTCCCGCCCCCTTCTGCCAGGGCTTGTCACTTTTGAGGTTGACAAGTGCAGACCCAGCGGAAAATGGGCGGGTTTCCCGTTAGCCGGAGGCTTTCTCAAACTCCGAGGTATCGCCTTTCCCAGCATTGGTTCCTCTGAGCCCCGACGAGCCCCGTGCAGTCTTCCCCTCCTGGGTCAGATAGAAGGGCTCTGAGTGGAAAAGATGGTTGGACGCTTCCTTTTTAATCCAAATAAACATGAACGCATGTTCAAGGCTTAAAAAAAAATTTAAAGCCTTTGCTGTTTCACAAGTAGGGTTACACGAGGTTTTATAATCTAAATAATTTGGAAAGGAACATCGGGAGTGAACATACTTGTGAAGTCTGGCAGTTCTGATTGTTGCTAAGGTGCATTTTAAAAGTAGGCTGACTTCGTTGCTTATTAAGTGAAATACTGCTTACTTTTCATTCATTATGAAAATAACTTAAGACTTAAGAAAAAGTTAAAACATAGTGTAATCCCGCCTAGCTAAAAAATGCTGTTTTCAGTTAACCATGTCACTCTACCAAGTTTGTTTCCACATTTCTCCATAATTCTTCCTTCATTAATGCTAGTTACTATGATCATCCTCTTTATATTTTTAGTAGCTGTGTTGTAGGAGGTTGGTTAGTTAATGCTATGATTTATGAAATCATTTTCCTTTTGGAGAGTTGGGTTTCTTTTCCGTTTTTCCTAATGCTGTACATTTATTTGGTAAAACATCTTTGTGCTTATAGTTTTTTCCTGTTGAATTATTTCTGTGGAATAATTTCCAGGAGTAACACTGTTTTTCCTTTTCAGAAAACTGATTGGGAGGTAGCTATTAAAAGTATTAATAAAAAGAACTTGTCAAAATCACAAATACTGCTTGGAAAGGAAATTAAAATCTTAAAGGTATGTTACTTTATGTAGTATTACACACTTTAAGTGAATACATGATGCCATTCTTTGTGATTTGGGTAGTTGGATCCAAGTTTGAGAATTTTCAACCAATGCTTTCATTTTTGCATACTCAGGGTTTTTTGTTTGTTTGTTTTTGAAACATCTAGTACTCTGATGCTGTTTTTAAGAATAGATGTTTGTGGCTCTTGGCTGAAGCTTAGAGGGATTCTGTGAAGAGTGATTCTGGCTTCTCATAATTTCTTTTCTTTCTTCTAGTTATTGTGTAACTGAGAAGAGGGCCAGGAAACCTCATCTTACACATTGTTTACCTCTTCTGTTGTTCTTTTTCACATTACTGTTTTAAGTTCTGAGAGGAGAGTGGGGGCATTTGGGGGGTTTTTTCCTTATAAGTTGAAGAAAGTTATTTTCGTTTGAGGTGGTCTTTTGAGAACACTTAACAACCAGTGTTAGCCAAGTGAGATGCTTTGATTTGGGGGGTTTTTTTTGTTTTTTTTTTTGCAGTTTTTGGCTGGGGGCTGGGTTTGAACCCGCCACCTCTGGCAAATGGGGCCAGTGCCCTACTCCTTTGAGTCACAGGTGCTGCCCGAAGTGAAATGCTTTGAGGAAAAAAAGGGTTCCATGGTCAAATAAGTTTGGAAAATCCTGTTTACTAAATATTTCTTGGAGAGTCGCAAAGTGTGGGGCTCTGAAGTCTGAAAAATTCTACAATGAAGAAACTGATTTCAGTATATTTAACCCACTATTTTCCAAACCAATATAAGCCTAGAACCCACTTTCCTCAAAACTACTTCCTATGGAAATCTCTTTGGTAAGAATTGCAGCTCTTTGAGCTAAGAGTTAGTTATACTTCATTTTCTTCCAGGCATATACTGTGCTTTTTAAAAAAACAGTTTGAAATTTTATGCCTTTATTGCTGTTAAAAATTGAATATTACATTTAGAAGACTAGTAGAAAGTCTGTGGTCATACTGACTATAGCATTTATTTTTATAAATGAGAATGCTCACTTTGGTAGAAATCCAAATGATGGTAGTGAAAAAAAAATATAGGTCCTGAATAAAGTTTGATCAGACACATTTCTTCTTACTTAATAGAGTGAATTGTTCTATTAATAGAAGCATAATAGAAGTCATATATATGTATATACTTTTTTATTTGTATATCAAAATAAAATGATCAGAATACCTATAAATATTTTTCATTCTCAATTTTCTTAACAGGAACTTCAGCATGAAAATATTGTAGCACTCTATGATGTTCAGGTACCTTATTTTGGATTTAAAAAAATAAAATAATTTTTTAGTTCCATACAAATTTAAGTGAATCTTAATAGAAATAAACTGCATTGATTCTTGTTGAAAAGTCTTATACCTTAAATTACATGTTTATTAATTAAGAAATTGTTTACACTAGCATAGAGCAATAGGCTAAAATAAATGTGATGCATAAGCAAATTATTAACAATTGACAGTTTTCTATGAGGTCAAGTAGAGAAATATTAATACCAGATCTAGCATTTCTGCAATGAATGTTGAAAAGACTATTGTGGACTATTAACAAATTAAATATAGCTTTTTTTTTTATTATGAAAGCAACAATTATAAATTGAACAAATATTAGAAAGTAAAATAAAGAAAATGTACATATCAATGACCCAGATAGGTCTGTGATTATCCACATAGCATATAATAGAGTTATAGTTTATTTGAGGGTGGGAAGACTGGATTCTAAAGTCATGTTCTAAGGCAAAATTTCCTCACAGTTTTGACTCTTGGAAATCCTTCAAGAGCCCAGCTTTGGAGAAAATTTCTGTTTTTTGGGTGGAGCACAAGATCAAGTAGTAGGCTTATAATTAGGGCCATATTGTGTTTTTTGTTTTTGAGACAGGGTCTCACTCTTTCCTCTAGCTAGAGTACACTGGCGTCATTGTAGCTCACTGCTACCTCAAATTCCTGGACTCAAGAGATTACCCCACCTTGGCTTCCCAAAGTGCTAGGATTACAAGTGTGAGCCACCATGCCCAGCCTATATTACAGTTTTTTTTTTTTTCTGAGATAGAGAGAGTCTCAAGCTGTTACTGTGGGTAGATTGCTGTGGTGTCATAGCTCACAGCAACCTCCAACTTGTGGGCTCAGGCAATCCTCTTGCCTCAGTTTTTCTATTTTTAGTAGAAACAGGGTCTTCCTTTTTGCTCAAGCTGGTCTCAAACACATGAGCTCAAGCAATCCATCCACCTCGACCTCCCAGAGTGTATGTATTACAAGCCTGAGCCACTGGGTATGGCCTTTTTTTTTTTTTTTTAAATCCCCTGTTAAATACTAAGAATCACTTATCTATTGTGGTTTTTACTATCTGAGAGTTACAGGAACTTGAGTACTATGAAGAGAACATTAGATCATGTTTTCTCTCCACTCAAACCCCAGGGCAAACCAGCATGCATGACTTTTATGATTTCTTCTTATATTTTGATTTACTGTAAAGTAAATGGACATGTGATATGATTCTGCTATATATATTTCTAGCCAAAACCTTTTCTATATTCTCTTGGATTACTCAAATTCAGTCATTAAGTTCAGTTTCTGAGTGGCTCCTCTGTGCCAGGCATTATTCTGAGTGCTAGGGATTATGCACTGAATAAAACAAAGTCCTTACTCTGACGTGCTTAATTTTAGTCGGTGAGAGGAAATCACCTGGCCTATATACACTTTTTGTTAAATGTAGTCATTTTTTCATGTGGTCATATTATGCCACAAAGTATGTAACTAAACCCATGAGATATTTAGGTTTTTCCCATTACAGAAAAGTGCTGTAAGAATAGTGGATACCTTCTGAATGTATCTTCAGTGATTTCTTTAAGTTCAGTTTCTAGAATTGTTATTACCAAGTCAAATAGCATGCACAGTTTTAACATTTTTGATGGCAGGGAATGACTATTTAGACACATGTCTAAACTCCTATGTGTAGGAGTCCTGTGTTGTGTTTTATTACTTACTCAAGTAGGTATAATTCATTCATTTATTTGAGAAATTCTTGTCAGTGTAGAAAGAAGGGGGAAAATAACTTTACAGTCAAAACTAAACTCATTTCACAATCTCTGCATGAAGTGTTAGTTTTGCTCAGAGCTGTTTGTGTAGTTTGTCTTAGTCTCTATAGAGAAGGCACCAAGTGGTACAAGTCAGTGCCTTGCACGAAAACTGTGAAATAATATTAACTCTTGAATTCCCCATTCTTGGAGAAGTACAGAAGACTCTGGCAATTACAGAGTAGGTTTTACTTTCAGAGTAGAGCATACTTAAATTTTACTCTGTAAGATTGAAAAGTATTTGTATGTACCAGCTTTGGTTGTAGAACAACATGTTGGGGAGAACGTACTCAAATACCTGAGTTATCAGTCAGGAATTTCAAGGTGACTGCATTAAAGTGTCGTATTAGTTTGTTTGTTGTATACTACTGGAACTAATTTATAAAAAGTATCAGTCTATTGCTTCTCAGCCTTTTGGCTAAGATCAAGCGTAACATAAGTATCAAACTATAAGTCAAATGAATATAGTCTTGAGCATGTGGCTATCAAGTAAGGATTTGACCTTTTATTTCAGATTCACTTTTTTGATTCTAATTATCAATCAAGGGGTACAGTATATTTAGAGATTGTTTGTTTAGAGTGCAGTGGTTTTATCAACTTGAAATTAAAATCATTTTTGTTGGCCATTAGTTTTGGAGAGATGTCTAAAGTTTATAAATAGAGAACATTTAAAAATGGAGAACTTTTGTCATTGTAAAAATCAAGTTTCAGTTTAGATAACACTTAAAAAATGCATTTTCTCTCTAATTACAAAAGTAACATGTGCTTGGCCAAAGATGTTAAGATGTTAGCTTGTCTTCCAAAAAGTTACACCAGTTTATTTTATTTATTTATGTATTTATTGAGACAGAGCCTCAAGCTGTTACCCTGGGTAGAGAGCC